AGATAGATTTCAATAGGTTATAAGGTATTGGTTGCACAGGGCGAGGAAAAAGATTGGTTAGATGTATTGGATGTTTAGCTAGAGTTGACGATTACCTGAAGCTTAAGAAAGACTTCTCGGACCCAAGTAATCGAGAAAGTGAACCAAAGACTTGGAGCTCTCTCTTTTTTCAACCTCAATTGTGAGAGGATAGAATGTGGTTTGAATGGGTTAATCGGATGACGATTACTCGAAGCTCGAGAAAGACTCGTCGGTCTCTAAGTAATCGGGAAAGCGAACCAGAGACCTGGAACACTTTCTTTTTCATCGCAAAAGGAATTGTTTGAACGGCACTCGAAAGACAGCATGTAATTAAAGTATTTTAACAGATGAGGATTAATCGAAGCTTAAGAAAGACTTCTCGGACCTCAAATAATCGGAAGAGTGAACCAAAGACTTGGAGCTCTCTCCTTTTCTCATCTAATATATAAAAGATATTTAATATGATTAGAGTGTATTAATCGGATGAGGATTGTTCAAAGCTCAAGAAAGACTTCTTGAATTTTAAATAATCGGGAGAGTGAACCAAAGACTTGGAGCTCTCTCTTTTTCATCTAAGTGTTTAGGAAAATAGATTTGAATTTGTTTATCGTTTTTAGAAGACAATTGTTCGAGCTTAAGAAAGACTTCTCGGACCCAAACAATTGGGAGAGTGAACCAAAGACTTGGAACTCTCTCTTTTTCATCTTTTATTGAAATTGTGTTTAAATAGTTATTAAGTATTTTAGTTTGATTTGAAGAAAATTGCTTGATATGAATCAAGGTTTGAAAAATGTGTGAAACAACTTAGGCGTTTTCAGGAAAACAACTGTTCAAGTATGAAGAAGACTCCTCACACTTAAACAATTGGGCAAATGAACTGGGAGAGAGAATAGAAGACTCTAAACTCTCTTTCAATCAGGTAACTTTGAAGATGATTTGAGAAAAATTATTTGAGTATCCACAAAATGACTGGAAAATGATTTTGAAATCATTTTAAAATTAAGCAGAAGTTAGTTGAAAATTAGTTTGAAAATGAAATTGATTGTAATTTGTCTAAGGCTATACAAATGAAAGTGTGACAAAATTGCATCAATGTGAGATGTTTAATTATAAAATGAGGATATGAACAAAAGTTTTGTTCACTAAATTAGCTACACATGGAAGTTGGCTAGGAAAATCAAATAATTAATAATTAATCAATTACAACCAACTAAATCAATTAGAAAAATAATTAAACAATTTACTATTAATTTAGATCACAAATGATTAAAATACATAAAAAAAACATAGTTAGAAGGATAAATTTCAAATATTCAACACCTTAATTAACACAATATTAACATGATAAAGGGAATTCTTCATAACTAGCATATTCATCACTAACTCATTCACTAATCAAAATTAATTTTCTTATTAATTCACAACAATAGTAAATTTACTAATTTATAAATCAAAAACCAATTTAATAATTCATATAAGTACTTAGCTTACTAATGTATGTAACAGTAGTGAATTCTCTAACCAAGACTAAATGCATAACAGCATGAATTCTAACCAAAGCTAAATCACTGATATATAACAGAATCAATTTAAACCAAAACTAAATCACTGATGCATAACAGAATCAATTTAAATCTTAAATTTTCTAGCAACAAGATTCTCGTGTTGTTTTCACAATACGGACATTAAATCACCGCCACAACAGCAAATCGTACTCAAACAGATCGCACATCACGGTCTATAAATTGCAACAAAGTCGCATCGCAACAAACAAATTCGTATAGCAATTTTCAAATACACCAACTGCACAACAAACGCACGAGGCAATCATAAGAAGTAGCAACAATCATTATCACTTAATCACCTATTGCATTATTAAAACAGGCCTGGGTTAACAATTAACAAACTGTCACAATTTTGAAACAAGGATAAAATAGTAGCAGCTCTAAAAACACATTAGTATGACCAACAAACTAGAACAGCAACAACCATACACAATATCTCACGTTATTTATATAATAGAAATCGCAACAACATAACTCAGCCAACAACAACGTTTAACTACAGCTGCGACATAAGAATTTGTCGCACAATCGAAGCACATAAAATTTGACAGCATCACATTAATTCAGCATAACCGAAACAAAAGGAATCTAAAATACCTTCTAGACGCAAATATATAAACACTTAAGCAACAACAGTGAACCGAATGCACTAGAAAAGAAGCCACAGTAGTATCTTCATGTCATTACAGGACACTAAACCGTATCAGTATAAGTTACCACACATTGCATCAAGAGATTAGCATAATGTTTATGTTCTAGCTGGCTCACACATTGACCAAGAAAATACAAAAAACCAATAAAATACTAAACTTCAAAGTCAATTATATGGCAGCAATCAACAAAATAGAAGTCATGTGCAACCAACAGACATAATACAAGAAGAAACCGATTCGAATTGTTACCGTTGACGAATCATTGTTGTTGGAGCAGAGATGATCATGGCTCTACACATTATGGTCGAACATCTGCCGTTCCATTTCATGCTTCGAAAACCAGCTGCTATAAACCCTTTAAACCCAACGGAAAAGTCGCGATGGTTTTGCGAGGCCAGTAAAAACAGAGGCGTCGTTGTTAGGATTGTGTGGAGTTGTTGTCGCTGAAGAAGTTGCTCATGAATGCAATGCTGCTTCAATCTAATTGTGTAGTTGAAAGCACGATCTTGCAGCGTCGCCTCAAACACGTAATGGGATCCGCTTCTTGAGTTAATACACCACTTCATCCATTTCGGCTGAATCCTCAATGGTTGATGTTAACTTTGTAGCAAGATTGGTTTCCTAGTGTGTTACTCGAAATGCCGAGCTAATGCTGCAAATATGAGCTGCCAGTGCTTTCTCTCATTTGTGGGTTTCACATGCTCTTGAGATTTTCGTTTTCTGTCATTTCCATGTGTGTAACCTCCTCCCGCGTTGTCTTTATCATTTTCGTTTCTGTTGTTGTTATCATAAGGAGCCTGCTGCTGATATTGTTTGCTTTTCCTTCCGAAGTTTAAATATCTGAACATTATCAAGAGCAAACTCCACGATAGGCCGATGTTCAGGACCAAAAGTTTCAGGATTATTGTTAAGAACTCTCAATGTAACAAGGGCATGCTGGTGTTCTGAAAATTCAAGAAAGGCGACTCCCCGGGAATACTGTTCTTGAGTAGCCTTTCCTTTCCTTCCATCTTTCAAAAGCTTTATCTGTCGAATCACCGGTTTTTGCTTGGTAGCATTAGAGATGACTGCATCAATGCAAAGCTTCTTTAGTTGTTTTTCAGTCTTTGACTTAGGTAAGTTGTAGATAACAAGTCTAGTTTTTGAAACATGAAAATTTGGAGATTGAAGCTTCGTCTTCTTTTTCCTTTCTAACTCTTTGCGTTTTTCCATATCACTGGCTGAAACTCCTTCAGCAGCTGGAGTCCCTTCAAGAATAAGTCCCTCCTTTGCCAAGTAAATATTGCGGTGGTCATGAACCTCGTTTTTTTTCTTTTTCCTGTTCCTTGTCATGAGCTGTTTTCTTGTCCAGAGCTTTCAAAACTTTTAATGGTCTACCCTTCACTAAAATACCCATCCCAGAAGCAGCATTGGCAGTTGAAATTGCAGCATTAGCTGCTTCAACGGTTTTAAACTTAAGAAAACCAGTTCCTCGTGGACGCTTGGTCAATTGGTGGAGAACAGGAGCAAAATATTCTACTACTCCAAATGCAGAAAATCGTTGCTTCACTTCTTCGGTATCATATTCAAAGGGAAGATTATTTATAAAAATTGTTTTTTTTGCAGATCATCTTCTGTTTCCTTAGGGTTAGATAACCTGCTGGAAGTCTCAGACTTAGAAGTAGCTAAAACTTTGTCAGACTCTTTAGGCGCTTCACTAATGGCATCCTTAACAGTTTCCTCATATTTTGGCTCCTTATTTTCTTCGGAACACATAGAATCCGTATTTACAGATGCATCTCTAGCAGAGGAGGATGTAATAAAATTGTTAAGAACCTTTCTTGCAATGTCTGCTTCCTTGTCAAAATCATCTTCAGAAGGAACATCTTCCTCCACTACACCATCAATATCACTATCATCTCCTTCATCAGATTGTTTGTTGGTATCCTCAACATCATCACCTGTAGTAGTACTACCATCTTCATGTGACGCCTTTTGTTGTCCTTCCTCTGAAGCGGGAGCATCATTGGCATCACTACTAAATATCTTTTTTGGAACAACCCAATCAACAACTATGAGACGACTCCCAAACTTCGATCCATTGAGCTTTCGAATGGCATTTTCAGCATCTTGCTTGCAGGTGAATTTTACAAAGGCGAAACCCTTTGAAAGACCTGTGTCGGACTTCTGTGGAATGAATACCGCCCATACAGGCCCCGCAGATTTAAACACATCACTTATTTCATTTTCTTTGGCCTTGAAAGGAAGGTTTTTAACAATAAGCTTCCATTTTTGAGTCTTGGATCCCTCGCCACCAAGTTGGCGTGCCCAAACAGTTCCGCCTCCTATCTCTTTTCTATGCAATGTTGCGACAGAAGCACGAGCTGATTTTACACTAGTGTATAGTACAGCTGAAGCATCCAAAGTACAGCCATCTTGCAGCAGACCATGTTGCTGAAGATCATTCCTTGAGAGAGACTTAATAGAGCACACAGTGCCAATATCTTTGGCTTGACGGTGAACATCTTCAGCCATGGCAGAATTCATGAGAACACCAAATATAACTGTTCTAGCAACCCTCTGCTTTTCTAAGCCACCCCCCTCATCTGCTACATTATTACAAAGAGCTGCTTTTTTATTTCCACAGGCTTCCTTGAGTTTTTTGTTTATTCAAAATTGTCCCTTCTTCTTCCTTTGGAACTGGAACAGGCTTCTCTGCTACAGGTAATAAACTGTCTTTATCATCATTTTTTGACTCTGTGAGATCATTGTCCTTGCCCTCTTAATCTGGTTTCAATCTTCTATTTTCACGGGGAGGACGGGGCATTGCGTGCTTCACTGCAATTTTTCGGCCACCAACCAATGAACCGTTCTTCAGCTCAATGGCACTGTTAGCGTCTGCCTCAACAGCAAATTGGACATAACCAAAACCGCGATGTTGAGTAGACCCTTTTTGTGTTACCATGAAGCAACGCCTAACAGGTCCAACTTCATTGAAAGTTTCCTCAAGCTGAGGGTTTGTAAAGGAGTAGGGTAAGTTGGAAACAAAGAGAGTCAAGGGGGGTTGTTTTAAGGTGTCGTCGCCATTTTCATTTCTTGTTTTGTTTTTCTTACCCATGTCTATAACCCTAAGTGGTTGAATAGATGAAGGTGCGAGTTTCTGGGAGTGATGAAAACGGAGGTTAGCGGTGGTTGGTTATGGTGGTTTGTGTGGGTTGATTTCCGGCAAAGGGAGAAGAGGGTTAGCTGAGGGAGAAGATGAATGTGAGGGTTAAGATGATGAAGCTCGAGGGAGGAAGGATAAAGAGTGACCGACGACGGTCTTTTCGGAGGGGGAAAGGAAAAATGGAAAGAAGAAGATGATGGGAAAGGGTTTGTCGGCTGGGAGAAAGAGAAGAGATTTTCAGCAAATGGTCGGAGAGGAAGATTGAGAGAGTGGTTACTCGGGTGTTTCGGCAGCTGGGAGAAGAGAAAGGATTTGCCGTTAGGGTTTGACGGCCCGGTCCTCCCCTCATGAACAGTAACGAATCCCCTTTATACATCCAAACCATAACCCTAATTTAATTTTCCTCCCGCCTCTCTCTTCCTTTTTTTTAATTTCTTTTTAATTAATTCTGTTTTCTTTTTCTCTTATTTTAAAACCTTTCTATTTTAAACTAAACTATACTAATTCTAATTAATTTATTCTAAACTAAATTATTCTAGATCTAACTTAGATTCTAATTAATTTAATCCTAAAACCTAATGTAAATTTTAATTAATCTAATTAATAAATAAAGATAACTATAAATAATACCACGTGTCACAAATTTATTGGACAAAAAGTGAAAAATACGTTAAGTTGTACACGCAATGCAAATTGAAAAAAATAAATTCGGGCTAATAAAAATTTTCAAAAAGGTAGGACAAATTTGGGGTATGACACCTGATCCTTTGCAAATCCAATTCCCTTTGGTACGCTGGAAGACTTCGTCTGTTTTCTCCAGCAAAAGTCCAATCATCATTGGCACGTGTGAGCTATCCCTAGTAGGGTTCGATCATACTTGGCACATCTGGTGATCCCCAGCGGAGTTGGCTTCACCTTTCCAGCATTTATTTTGATGGAATGTTCTGTTGTATCCAGCTTTCCCCGGCAGCCGAAACCTGCATCTGCATCTTTGCATGTAGTTATCATATTTGCATCATCCTTGCATTTCATCCTCAAATGCGTAGCATTTCCATTTCGTATGGAGAATTACACCATATTCAAACATACACATATGTATTTGAAGCATAAGCCAGTTTCTGTCAGCCTTCCGTGGCAACTTGAATCATTTTGCAATCAATACAAGGGCATTTATCCAGCAGCTTTGTTCAGACAGCTTATCGGTTTACTCGGGTTTCAAATCATCTGTCGGTTATGATTTTGTCCATCAGTCCTCTAATGATGACATCCCTAAGCAAATTTTCTTTCCGTCAATGATGTGTTTCTCCGAGCAGATTTTCTTTCCGTCAATTCCTATTGATGACGCGTTTCCCCAGCAGGTTTTTCTCTCAGTCTATCCTTAGACGACGTGAGTTTCGGACGTGGTTTTCTTTCCGTTTATTGCATGAAATGGCGTTTTAGGAGGGTTCCCGTGTTGTCAATTCCTATTGACGCTGTGACTCTTTGAAGAATGATTGGTTTCCCTTGTTGGCAATTCCTATTGACGACATGGCTCTTTGAAGATAGTTTTCTTTCTGTCAATTCCTATTAACGATGTGGCCCTTTGAAGATATTTTCTTTCCATCAACTCTTATGGACAAAAGAATTCTGCAATTCGTTGAACAATTTTGAAGTGCGGTTTTGGTGTCTTTTCGTCTACTTTTAGACGATGTGAGTATTTTGTGTCTTGTCGTCTACTTTTAGACGATGTGAGTATTTGGTGTCTTGCCGTCTGCTTTTAGACGATGTGAGTATTTGGTGTCTTTCCGTCTACCATTAGACGACGTGAGTATTGGTTTTCTTGCTGTTTATCCTTAGACAATGTGAAGGGATCAAGTGCATGTTGATCCAGCTTCCAGCGGTGACTTTCCGTCTACCATTAGATGATGTGAGTATTTTGGTGTCTTTCCGTCTACCATTAGATGACGTGAGTATTGATATTTCTATCTGTCTATCCTTAGACAGCGTAAACCTTTATTTGGAGTCTTTCCGTCTACTTTTAGACGATGTGAGTATTATTCTCTTCCAGAGGTGAAATTACCAACTGCGAGTTGCTCTAGCCTTTGCTTTTGATGTATGTGGCATTACACAGATGACTGGTAGAGATGTCAGGTGTTCTCTATCAGATGAGCAGTCAGCCGATTGCTATTGCAACTGTTTGTATTTAGTTTTTCCGGATATTTGTTCCCTAATCAGAGTGTTGCAGATTATTTCTGCGGTTGGCAAATTTTCGGGTTCTTTTGTATTCAACCGTCTTTAACCTTTGAATCTTTGAAAGTCGTTCGCTTCTCAACCCTTCAGGTCCAAGCCGTTTGAATAGGGGCAACTGTTGTACCCCAAAATTTGACCAACTGTTTCTAGCAATTTGGCTTATGTTTCGTTTCATTTGCATTTGCATCTACATACCGCATACTATGCATTTTTTTGCAGCCGGATTGATTTTATCGAGATTACAGCCCTCTCTCTCGTGTTTCAAGCGCTTCAAGACAGTTTAAATTAACAGGGTTATTTTTGAAGTGGTGCTCTTCCCGGTGTTTTGATTCTTGCTGTTATTTTTGAGGATATTTTCTTTCAATAGATTTTCTTTTAATAAAAGTTACTTTTTTAGAAGTTATTTTCTTTTATTAGATTTTAATAGCTTTTTCTATTTCTTTTAGATTTTTAAATAATGTTTCTTAGAATTAACTGTTTTTAGAATATCAGAGTTTTATTATTTCTTTTAGATTTTTATTAATTGTGATTAGTTGGTTAGATTTTAGATAGTTTTTTTATTAGGATATTAGTTTAGTTGTTATTAGTTAGGTTTTAATCACTTGCTTTTATTTGGTCAGCATTTCCATTAATTAGTGCCAACTTTTTTCATTTTTGTTTCAGCTTTATTAATCAATTTTAATCTTTAGCAATTAATTAATCAATTCAGTCATTAATTTGCGCTAATCACTAATCAAGTCTTGTAGGTCTAATTCACTTCTAATCATGCTTTTCTGCGCCACTTGTTAGGCTATAAATTGCCTGTTCACAGTGCATTCTCTCTCTCCCATTAATGCTGACACACCACCTCACATGCAAACACCAACACACCTCCACCGGAATAATCACACGATGCTTTCCACAGCCAAAACCCTCGCCGGAAACATCGTAGCCTCACCGGAAAGTTCATACCATTCTCCAGAAACTCATCCATGTTCTTCGTGTTCTTCAATTTTTTTCCAGAAATTCAAACAAATTCATCCTCCTTCAAATAATTTTCCAGAAATTTATAACCATATTTATCCAAACTCATGCGAAATTCACCTGCGTTCATCAACTTATTCAAACCTTCAACATTTTTCCAGATTTACTCAAACAATTTTGTCCAAAGTTCATAACAACCTTCATAGCTTCATCCATAAGTTCCCAGATCTAAACCTCCATCTCCAGATTCAAACACAAAATCACCGATCCAGACATCAAATCTCCAGATCTACCATAATCATTATTGAACAAAGTCCAAACCATGTTCATCTATGCCAAAACTGTTTCCAGATATGAACTCATTGAACACCAAAATCTCACATGATCCACAAACTTCACCACAGATCTTGATTCACCATTAAACAATCCAAGATATAAACGCGACAACGTTCATAGATATTCAATAATAAATAGTAGATCTTCATTGAACCATCTTGAAACATCCATCGTCACCCCACGCGTGTTCATTAGTTTCCAGATTTTTTCATCAATCTCCACAGAAGCTTCAACAACCTTCAATAAATTTCATCACCGTCATCACACCTCCCTCACTTTTCCAGATCTAGATCCATGCGTTCATCATTCACAACGAATGTTCATCAAATCTCCACGAGTCTCCGAATCTTTGGTCTCCTCGAAACCATAGCTCTCACCTGAGAACGGAGGAGGAATCGTCTGGCTTTGTTTCTTCAACTTTCAGTTTGTTTGAATGAAACAAAATGGAGCAAAGGAGAGGGAGAAAGGTTTGTTTTGGTAGGAAGAAGTGTTGAAGAGATGGAGGGGAAGGTGAGGTCGGCGGCGACGATTTTGGGAAAGAGGAATTAGGATTAACCAAGCTGAAGTGAGGAAGATGAAATGATTTATGGACATGTCAAGTGGGTTAGTGGGCCCTTCCGACCCATTTCTTTTTCCTTTGGATCTACACCCCGTTTTCTGGACTGTTCCCCCCATTTTTTTGCTTGCACCCTCATCTGTGGTTGTTTGCTTTTGACTTGTGCCTTCAACCTAAAGCCCAACCGGATTTTGGATTGCGCCCCTGTTGGATTGTTGAAACCCCCCTGTTTCCTTTTCTCTTTGATTTTTATTATGTATTATATTTTTATTTTAAAAATGTATATTACTATTTTTCTTTTAGAATTATAGTTTTATTTTCTTTTGTATATATGTATATTATAAATCTTAGTTTTATATTCTATATATAGAATTTTATTTTATATTTTCATATTTTCTTATAATTTCTTTTAGAACTTTTTTTCTTTTAGGAGTTTATTTTCTATTAAAAATTGAATTCTTATTTCCATTTGTTATTGAATTTTTTCTTACCATGTTCATTTTGTAGGTCGATGACGAGACCTCCGTAATGCGTTATAAATCAAAATGTCGATGAATAATATAGGATCCGAGACATCTTTTTCTCTCCTCATCTTTTCTTCTTCTTCTGATTTTATTTTGCTGTGCTGTCCGTGTGACATTATTCAACTGGAGAATGATTCTCAATATCATTTCTCTATCTTGTCTTTGACACGGATATCAATACGCTACCTCTTGGGGTTTGACTTCTTTTATAAGTCGAATTATGACGGTTCAGCATCACAGTGGTTCTGATTCGAAATGTCATCATCAAGGATCAAAAGAGGAAGGCTTGAAATGGAGCTTGCACGCAAAAGTCAAGGGTCAACGGAACCACTCCGTTCGGTAAC